TGTTTGAGTGAAGTACGTGGGCTCAATAGGGTCCAAAACAGAGGCAAGGAGAGCATGTGGAAAGGGATAGCAAACAGTACAGTCAGTGAATTGTTTGGGCTTAGAATGGCCTGTATGCGAGCGAGTTTTCATTGGATGGGATGAGGAAGACTCGGCTTGGGAAAATGTGGGTTGCGTGGCAGCTGGTGGGGCATGTAATATAGGCAGAAAGGCCGCGGCGTGGGTTGAAGATGACAAGTGGAAAATTGGATTCGTCGAAGATGACATAGATAGATATAAAAATCTGATTGGCCTTGGGATAAGGGAACTAGTATCCTATGTATTGGAAACTATAACCTACAAAACACGTTCTTTGGAAAAAGGTTCGAGTTTGTCAGTAGTATAAGCACCTAGGTGCGGGTAACTATACTAGGTGAAGGTGACCTAGTATAGTTAAACCTTGGTAAAAACTAGGCCTGGCAATTCCTGACACGACCCGATAACCTGACACGACACGACACGACACGAAATTAACAGGTGTTCGGGTCGACACGATAACGAAACGGGTCGTTATCAGGTAACCCGATAAGCACCTGTTAAGATAACGGGTTTGTTCGGGTATACACGTGGGTAACACGATACACGATAAGCAAAATATTAATTTAATAATTTATAACCCTAAAAAATACTATATAAATTATATATATATTAATTTAACAATTTAATACCCCTAAAAACTATAATAATTATATATATATATATTAAATTAACTATAATAATTATAATAATTATATATACTATAATAATTATACCCAAAATATTAACTATAATAATTATATATATATATATATATTAAATTTTATACCCCTAAAAACTATAATAATTATACATACAAAATAAATAGATTTAAATCTACTTAATAAATAAATATATATATACACACACACCATTGAACTTCATGGGATACGAATTATACGAAACTGATTTCAACGATCCAACCGTCAAACATGTTTGTATATACTTCGAGATCGCATACGCCAAAAATTACAAAAAACAAACATTCAGAGATCAAGTAACGGGACAAAACTTTTCGACGGTTATAAACGAAAAATCACGATTTAACGGTCATTTTAACTCCGATTTTGATGATTTTTTACAACCACACTCCTTGACCCTATATGAATACAATGATTGAATTCGATCTTCAATTTAAAATATTTACACTAATCTTATGTTATACTTAATAAAAGTATGAATAAACTCTTAAGTATTAGTGAATCTATTGTTTTGATGGGATACTCATTCTACAAAACTAGTTTCAAAGATCCAACCGTCAAACATGTTTGTATATACTTTGAGATCGCACACGTCAAAAAGTACAAAAAACAAACATTCAGAGATCAATTAACGGGACAAAACTTTTCGACTTTTATAAAAAGAAAAACCACGATTTAACGGTCATTTTAACTCTGATTTTGATGATTTTTTGCAGCTACACTCCTTGACCTTATATGAATACAATGATTGAATTCGATCTTCAATTTAAAATATTTACACTAGTGGAAACCACAAAATCTTATGTTATACTTAATAAAAGTATGAATAAACTATTAAGTATTAGTGAATCTATTGTTTTGATGGGATACTCATTCTACGAAACTAGTTTCAAAGATCCAACCGTCAAACATGTTTGTATATACTTCGAGATCGCATACGTAAAAAATTACAAAAAACAAACATTCAGAGATTAATTAACGGGACAAAACTTTTCGACGGTTATAAAAAGAAAAATCACGATTTAACGGTCATTTTAACTCTGATTTTGATGATTTTTTGCAGCTACACTCCTTGACCTTATATGAATACAATGATTGAATTCGATCTTCAATTTAAAATATTTACACTAGTGGATACCACAAAATCTTATATTATACTTAATAAAAGTATGAATAAACTATTAAGTATTAGTGAATCTATTGTTTTGATGGGATACTCATTCTACGAAACTAGTTTCAATGATCCAACCGTCAAACATGTTTATATATACTTCGAGATTGCATACGCCAAAAATTGCAAAAAACAAACATTCAGAGATCAAGTAACGGGACAAAACATTTCGACGGTTATAAACGAAAAATCATGATTTAACGGTCATTTTAACTTCGATTTTGATGATTTTTTACAACTACACTCCTTGACCTTATATGAATACAATGATTCAATTCGATCTTCAATTTAAAATATTTACACTAGTGGATACCACAAAATCTTATGTTATACTTAATAAAAGTATGAATAAACTCTTAAGTATTAGTGAATCTATTGTTTTGATGGGATACTCATTCTACGAAACTAGTTTCAAAGATCCAACCGTCAAACATGTTTGTATATACTTCGAGATCGCATACGTCAAAAAGTACAAAAAACAAACATTCAGAGATCAATTAACGGGACAAAACTTTTCGACGGTTATAAAAAGAAAAACCACGATTTAACGGTCATTTTAACTCTGATTTTGATGATTTTTTGCAGCTACACTCCTTGACCTTATATGAATACAATGATTGAATTCGATCTTCAATTTAAAATATTTACACTAGTGGAAACCACAAAATCTTATATTATACTTAATAAAAGTATGAATAAACTATTAAGTATTAGTGAATCTATTGTTTTGATGGGATACTCATTCTACGAAACTAGTTTCAAAGATCCAACCGTCAAACATGTTTGTATATACTTCAAGATCGCATACGTCAAAAATTACAAAAACCAAACATTCAGAGATCAAGTAACGGGACAAAACTTTTCGACGGTTATAAACGAAAAATCACGATTTAACGGTCATTTTAACTCCGATTTTGATGTTTTGTTACAACCACACTCCTTGACCCTATATGAATACAATGATTGAATTCGATCTTCAATTTAAAATATTTACACTAGTGGATACCACAAAATCTTATATTATACTTAATAAAAGTATGAATAAACTATTAAGTATTAGTGAATCTATTGTTTTGATGAGATACTCATTTTACGAAACTAGTTTCAATGATCCAACCGTCAAACATGTTTATATATACTTCGAGATTGCATACGCCAAAAATTGCAAAAAAAAAAACATTCAGAGATCAAGTAACGGGACAAAACTTTTCGACGGTTATAAACGAAAAATCACGATTTAACGGTCATTTTAACTCCGATTTTGATGATTTTTTACAACTACACTCCCTGACCCTATATGAATACAATGATTGAATTCGATCTTCAATTTAAAATATTTACACTAGTGGAAACCACAAAATCTTATGTTATACTTAATAAAAGTATGAATAAACTCTTAAGTATTAGTGAATATATTGTTTTGATGGGATACTCATTCTACGAAACTAGTTTCAATGATCCAACCGTCAAATATGTTTGTATATATTTCGAGATCGCATACACCAAAAATTGCAAAAAACAAACATTCAGAGAGCACGTAACGGGACAAAACTTTTCGACGGTTATAAACGAAAAATCACGATTTAACGGTTAATTTAACTCCGATTTTGATGATTTTTTACAACTACACTCCTTGACCTTATATGAATACAATGATTGAATTCGATCTTTAATTTAAAATATTTACACTAGTGGATACCACAAAATCTTATGTTTATACTTAATAAAAGTATGGTATAGTACTATTGTTTTATTTTTTTTCATAATTATTTTGGTAAACTTCTCATAATTTGAATGATTTTTAATGTTTGGTTTTTCTATGCTTAGTTTATGCAGAAGATAGTTATGACGTGGAAAACCTTACTGAAAACATCATCAACATAACTCTTGAAGGCAATAGATCAAGCCAAAGTTCCAATGCAATTTCATGATGATCGATGTAAATCGAGGATTTTGTAAATTGAGGTTTAAACTTTTGAGAAAGATTTCACAACCTTGAAAACAAAAACTGTTTCATTTTGCATATCCTTGCACATTAAAAATTTGTAATAGATTAGTAGTGTATGTATTATTTTTTTATTAGGCTCTTATTTTCGAGTGTAGATGCAGTACTTAAACGACAAATGTGTTTTAATGTTTTGAAGTAATATTTATGTGGCAATGTGTGGTATGTGCAAATTTAAGAAAAAAAAATATATTTTTCTTAACGGGTCATAACGGGTCATAATGGGTCGGGTCACTTTACCCGTTGGGTAAAGTGACACGACCTGTTAAGGACCCGTTAAGATAACGGGTGTGACACGACACGACCCGTTAAGATAACAGGTGTTACACGAAAACGACACGAACACGACTGACACGACCCGTTTGCCAGGCCTAGTAAAAACCAGCTACAAGGAGAAGGAAAGAAACTCAAGCCTATCTGCTATGGACCATTCAAAATCATTAAACAAATTGGTGATAATATCCTCCGGCTCAATCTACCACTATACATGCATATGTACTCGGTCATTAATGTCGAGAATTTGAAGCTCTTTGAACCATCTCTATTGGATGATGATCCTAATAACGAAGACACTCATCTCCCTTCAGTTGATGACTTAAGAATGGAGTGAGAAGATCCTTTTGAGGAAGACATAACCATTGTAGTTGAATGAATTTAATCAAGAAATTCCGAGAGAAATTCAAAGCTTCTTATTAACTTCATATTTTTTTCCTTTTCACTTTCCTCTCATTTAATATAAGTTTACGTACTTTCAAAGAGAAGTCCAACTCTATATTTTGTTACAACCCATACCTTAAAATATTGTATTATAACTCGAGACGTGAAAAATGACTATTTTAACCCTGAGTGGGTGTCTTGATTAATTATTAAGCCTCAACTAGAGAATAATATCCTAGTACTTTCTTAAGTTTCATAATCTTTATTTTCATACATAAGTTTTACGTCGAAGTTGATTTACGAATCGAGACCTTGAGGGCTTAATTGTAATTTTTACAATCAGTGATGGGCAATTTTGCAATTTTGCTTAATGGGTTTGAGTGGGATTGCATTACTCTCCGTCCCTCTCTTTTCTCCCTCAGCTGAAATCATATCTCACATTCTCTCTCTAAGTCTCGAACTCTCTCTAGGCCGAGAGCTTTACCTTGCTCTCCTCTCAACCCTCTCACAAATCGAACTCAAAAACTTGATATTTGGAATCCTTGTGACTCAAGGAACTAGCCTATACCCTGGCATATGCCATCAGAGCACTAGACAATGACCTACCATGGAAGTCGTGAGCTTCAAGCTCTAGCCCTCAATCTCAGGTGAAATTCCTTCATAGTTATTGCTTTATAGGCTTTTAGCTATGTTGGAACTGAATATTTCTTCGAGTTTGAACTCAAGTTCATGTGTTTTTGACCCTATGTCACTCTGCACCGGCATGCCTAAGCTCAGCTTCAAACTCTGGCGAGATTGCCATCAAGTTTGAGGTTGATTAGGTTTTTGCAGTGCTCTTATATTAGTTCCTTCTTGTTTAAGAACTGCAATTGATAAAGTTATATCCATTCTTGTGGTTCTAAACCTCTGCATGCTTCTCAGTGCAATTTCCCAGATTCCAATCATCTTTCCCGTGCAAACTCCGGCGAGTTTGTGATTTATAGATCTTGGGAACACCTCCAATCAATCCCAGGTATTTAGGGCTAGTTTGGTATTGTTGTGCTTTGAAAAAAAGCTGCTGTGAGAATAAGCGGCTGTGCTGTGAGAATAAGCGGCTGTGAAATAAAGCAGCAGAGTGTTTGGTAAACTTTTTTGTAAAAGTGCTTTTGGAAAAAAAAAGCAGTCTGATAGTGGGTCTTTTTATTAAAGGAGCACTGTAGCTCCGTGTGCTTTGAAAAAAAGCCAGTTTTCCAAAGCTGCAAATAGCAGCTTCAGTTTTTTTCTTTTATTTCAGCTTATTTTCACAGCAGCTTCTAAAATAAGCCCTTTTTTTTCAGTTTACCAAACACCTAAAACCCTCACAGCTTTTTTTCATGGGTGCTTTTTTTTTTTAAGCACCTCACTCCCAAACCACCCCTTAGATACCTTTATGCATGTTATTTTTGGTTCGAATTGGCTGAGTTTGACATGCATACACACTGATTGCCATTTCCAGAATCCGGCGAGGGTTTTCGAGGGAAATCCGTTGAATCTGAGGTGGATTCGAACCCCATTCCGCTTAAACTCATTCAATGTAAGTCCCTAAGCCTCTAATTGATGTTTTCTGTGAGTTGAGAAGTGAAATGTGTGAAATTTGGGACTGAAACCAACCTCTGCAATCTCTCGGTGCAATTTTGTAGTTTCCGGTGACTCTCCAATGACGGTAGACGGCCGCCCACGATGATCACCGTTAGTTTTAATGATAGGAATTGAGATTCTGTTAACTCTAACGGAATATACTAACGGAGAAGGTATATTTCGTTATCTCTGTTTAAATCCACACTGCACTAGTGCGTGGCATCGGCGACGGCGAGTACGGCGATGTGTTCGCAGGCCGCCTCTGACCCACGTGTTTTCCGGTGCGTGACACCACTGCAGCGGTGCGTGCAGTGGCATGTGACAAACCCAAGACCTAACCCTAGGTTTTTCGGTGTTCTAATTCACGTGGTGCTGTCCATTTGTGCAAATTCGAAACCTAAATGGTTGAATTAGAGTGTGTTCCATGAAAATGATGATTTAAGCTTATCTTAGCTTATATTGATATTCACATGATTGATTGGGGATAGGAAGGATATAGCCAATGAGTCTAATTGCGAGTAACACTCTGCTTACCTGTGCGTGGACTCCTTAAAAAAACCAATTTTTTTTACGGTACATATTTATGTATATGCTTTAATGCTTAACATGTGGATGCATGTTGTTGTGTTAGTCTCAGATGAGACTTGTGATGATATTGATAATATCTTTAGATCATTCATGATCTATTTTCACCACATTGTCATCATGCGATGAGTTGTATAGCAATCTTTGGTCGTAGATTTGTTTGCAGGTTTTATTTGTCCTAGTGGACACTAGGGTTGATGATTATTACTGGTATAGACTAACTAGTTATTTCTAGTATATTTCATGCTTGTTATACTTATGTTAGTGGATGCTAGCATGATTGATTGATGGAAGGTATGATTTCTGAACTTAACTTGATGGTTTTTCGTTGATATTGATGAACGAGGCTTTTCTATTATGGTACTATTATATTATATAGTTTTCGCTATATATGTGTTCAAAACAGGAGTTATTATGTTTAATGATGATTTTATAACTATGATAAAACTAATCCACTCACGTTTTGTTTTATCGACTCCTTCAGGACATAACGAGACTAAAGAGAACACCTGTGGGGACAAGTGGGCGTGGTAATAAGGCTTCCATCCTTTGGACTATGAGTGATGGCTCATTTACTGTAGTTTTATCTTAGTTGTAATAATGTATGCATGATCGTACTTTTGATTATGCATAGCACCACACTTTGTGTTTATTGTTGTGTGAAACTTCTGGTTGCTTGATCTGATGTGATTAATAACGGGGTTAAACCCGAGATAATTTGTGTCCCCAAGTGGGGAGGATGATAAGTACTTATGAAGCAGCTTTGGATTTATTATTTTCAATGAACATCTTTTGGTTCAAATTCTTGCACATCATAAATATCTTACTATGGCTTCGACATTGATTTGGCTTGTGACATCATCTCCCGACGGGATCATATAGTCAATTTAGTGTCGGCTAGTACATCACAACCTCGTAACTTGTGTTATTTGGGTTGCGGTGTGTCAATATTCCTACAAGTTAAGAATTTAAAGTTTTGTCGCCCAGAATTGGAATCATTAACTTTTGTATGACAACTTAAACACAAAAGGCACAAAAGCCTAATGACTCAGCATGGCCGGCCATAAAAGAAAGTTTGGTTTGGTTTCACTTACGCCACTCAAATGTGGGTAGTTATATAAAGGGGATTATAACACAAACCTCATTAGGTTTTCTATGAGGAAAGAAGGAAAAATACACTCCCTCTTTCTCTCTAGGAGGCCGACCCTAAGGGGGAGGATACTAGTATCCATCTCTCCCTTAGTCACTCACCTCTTCTTCAAATCCTTCCTTGGTGTGGAGATGTTAAAGGTTCCCTCTCTTGGGAACTTGGAGAATCCATTCATCCATCCAACTCCAAGAAACCCATGAAGTAAAGAAGCAAGGAATGAAGGCCCTCTCTTTGAGTGATTACCCCTTGCTTATACAAAGAGGAATCTACAAAGGTATACAAAATATTAACTCTTTCTCTTTGTGAATTTGAGTTGGGTTTTTGGTTCACCACACTACTAGGCTTTAAATTTCATGGGTAAAGTTTTATTTTGAGTGCATATGCTTTAGCTTCCGCTATTTAATTGTTAAATGTAATATTTTTGTTACTCAAATGAACTTAGAATAACCAAAATTTTCCTTAAAATATAAGAGATAGGTCTCTTTGATCTAACATTCTTATATCACTTGTCTCTTAGGTTGATTACATTCCTTGGATTCTATTATTCAGTAAACACATAATACATCAATTAATGATTAACAATAAACATTGCCCTTTCATTAAACTAAATAAGAGTTTAACACATAAGTATTTCAAAAGTTATTTACATCAAATGAGTGGCTTTATAACCATACTTCCAACACATGTACCCACCTCCACCTCTATACCCACCATATTTTGCTGAGGACAATGGTTCAGTAGCGTCAAGAAACAGCGAAGTTGTGAAACAGAAGATAGCTCAAGATCGAGGCTACTAAAACCAAAAACCAATTGAACCGAACCAAAAAACTGAGCCGGTTTGGTTCGCTTGGTTTAGGTTATTTTTTTATGTTTTTTTTGGTTGTTGTTGTTGTTATTGTAGATTTTTCGATCTTTGAACTGAACTAGATTGGGTGCAATATTTAGTTAAGGTTTCAATTTGGGTGATGAGATAGACTGTACCTAACGGTACTCACCCTTACTGCCACTACAAACACAATCTTTTAGGGATCTTAACAGACTTATAGTCATAGTACATGTAACTGCAGTAGAACCAGAAAATGTACATACAAAAACAATAAAAACGAAATACAATTATTAGGATATTGATTTCCAAGTTTAGCCATTGCATCAATTGTTATGTTCGCCTCTCTCAAAATATTTTAGAACGATAATTTGTAAAAATCTTTTCGTGAGATGAATTAACAGTAGATTTAGTTATTTTTCTATAATTTTATGCACAATGTTTTTTATTTTTTATTTTTTTTATCAATAACGAATGATTTCCTTTCATAACATAGCCAATTATACTACTTGAATGAGAGAGACGAGGAAAGAAACAACAATAGCAAACAAACAATCATAAACCTCTCACTGGGATGGTCATTCTTCATCAGAAATGAACCACCACCAGGAAAAGCTTGCCGCCTCCTATATTTGGAAATTATACACTTCTGTCATCCAAATCATCTTCCAAAATTGGCTCTAGCCATGGAAGAGCCTCTTCAATCCAAGTCCTGCGCTCGTTACAACTAGGCGTTGAACGAGTGTGCCGCCTTTGTTTGCCGTTCTCAGATGCCATTGACAACCAAAACTTCGAGAAAACAATTCTGTAAAACTTTGATCTCTTCTACTAGATGCCGGTCCACTCCTATATCGGCTTCTTCATCTTTTAGGCATAGGAGAAGGGCCAGTAGGCGATTTGAAACCAAATTGTGCAACTTCCCAATCTACTTTGAATAGTTAGTGACAAAAGCTTTTCAAAGCTTTAGAATGTCAGATGAATTCGAAGGTAGATTTGGAAACTGCATTAGACTGCTAAAATGAAAATAAAAGAACGAAATACGATGGATGAGTTCATAACAAGTGCCCGTTCCCAGCAAGCATGCAACTTAGGCTATTTATTCTACGGCTGGAGTGGAGTAAATATACACTAGTAAGAAATATACACCTTATCCTAGAGGTTTACACGCCAAAGGCTTCTTTAAAATCTATCAGCATATGCCTATGATCTCTCGTCTAACCCTCGTTTGGTCCATACTTATATAAAGAGATTGAAAAGCATATAGTTATGTATCCAGCTTCATCCTTCAATGATGGACAGCTTATTTACAATATCATTTTACACATTATGCAGTGCACATGCGTAAGACCGACTATAACAACTATTTCTAAATACGAGAAGTTGTATTCTTCTGCACCAATGAAGTCCACGTGAAAAGAATGCTGATGAGTCCGTATGATACCATATATTTTATCCTAATCTTATTATTAATTTATTGGTTCTTTTGGTAGAACTTTGATACTTTGTTATATATTTTTAATGTAGGACATTCGACTTCCTCTGGAGCAAAAAGTAACCAAACGGATGAATTTTGGAGTTATTCCAATTGGAGGATGTTCGTGAGTCTTTCAAGATGATTGTATCAAAATTCTAGATTTTTCTACTAAGCTGTTTGACCGTGGTAATGAAATTAAGGCTCAGCGCGCAGCTTTCCCAGATTGATGTTTCTGGACGTTTTAGGTATTTTGAAGGTCAAGATGACATATTTTGAGGAAAATTCCTTCTGAGGATTCGTAGGGGACGTCTCCAGTTTTCAAAAGAGACATTTTATGACCAAATCGGAGTTGATTTGGTTGGTCAAAAATCTGATTTTCTGAAAACTCCGAATTCTAGTTCAAATAGGAAACCTTTTGTTTTCTGTTTTATTATTTTATTATGTTTCCTAGTTTTATTCTAAGACCTTTTAAAGTTTTATTTTGTATTAGTATAAGTCAGGCTTTTTAGTCATTAGGTTAAAAAGGGGGAGAATGCATGTATTTTGGCTTAAGAGAGCTTTTGACGATTCAAGTTTATTTTCAAGGTGTTTTCTATCCATGTTTTTAATAATATTTTATTTTATGATTGTTCGTAACTAGTTTCGTTTGCTAGGGCGAGGCCACGAGCCTTAGCAAGAATATGCAGTTTCGTTTCAATTTGCTTATGATATTATGCATGCAAGTTTTGAATTATTAAGCATTGTGCTTTAAACTATCTCATTGTCTTGATGATTGACCACCATTAGGACATTTTGAAAAGTAACTTTATGCAATTTTGGTGGAGGGTTGTCCCTGGAATTGGAGTTGGCTTCTTGTGGTTAATATGTGTAACTTCTTAGGATGGACGACACGTTTTAAGGGTTGTATGGTTTTTCAAAAGGTTTTCACAAAACTTAATAAGTCTTGCATGTTCACATTCGATCTGGACACCACAGACGGTTGCATGTTAGATATGCGTTCTACGTTGGAGGTTCCAAGTAGGGCATACTTTAGGAAAACCTAACCTTCAAAATATGCATGTGTAATTCATAAGTAATTGGAAGAACTACGTAGGATTGTTAAAGCGACAGCGCAACCCTAGTGCTTAAATTTATTTTCTAAACTATCTTCTTTTGTTTTTTTATTACTTTGCCAATTTATTTAATTGTTTTTAATTAAATTCGTTTTTAATATTTTAGGTCATAAAATCAACATCTTCCAAACTTTGCTTTCAAATAATTAATTAAGATTTGGTTTTAACATAAATTATTCATTTAATCCCTGTGGAAAACAACCTTACTTGAGCTGCTATACTACGACAACCTTGTACTCTTGCAAATATTTTTAAGTGTTTTTATCCCTGCTTTTGCAGGTGATAAAATCCCTATCAAGAAATTGGCACCGTTGCAGGGGATTGTTTTAAATAATTTGTGTTTTTCAACTCTAAGTTAATCATTTTTGTATATAATTTTTTATTTACTTGATTTTATTTTATTTTTAGGTTACAACTTGATTTTGAGAGCAGTACACTGATGGAATTTGATCCTGCTGGATTCAATATACAATTACAAGGACCACCTTTATGGGTCAGCTCTTTAAACCTACAATTTGTGCACTTTGCTGTTTGAAGACCCACGATATTTTAAGGAATATTTTCCAGATTATGTCCAAGAGCATATCAATATGAGAAACAACTCAGAAAGAAATTGGAACAATCCATATTCAGATTTCTATACCCCAAGTTTGCAAAAGCATCTTAAGCAGTATTTTGAGCAGTTTAATTTGCCACAAGAACTTTAAGTGGAGGACAAGCTCTATAAATTGTTGGAATCAACTGAGTTATACATAGAAATAACCAATGAAGGATTTCTGATTCAAGCATTAAACTATGGGAAGAGCTTTAATGATTAGGAGGAGATTGGTGCAGGAACTGAAGAGCAATCTGCCACCCATTCACGTCCAGGGGAGAAAGCAGCACATGCTGAGCCTATAATCCCACCAGAACCGAGTGTTACCCATGTTTATGTGCCACCAAAACCTTTCCCACAAAGCTTGCAGGAAGACATGAGTGTTAATATGTTAGGAGAGGTTCACACAAATTTAACATCCAATATGTCGTATGATCAGCTCTCAAACACATTGATCGATTTGGATATAGGGCAGATGACTACTGATACAATTTATGTTGCTGAATTGGATGGTCTAGCAGTACAAGCATTCAAATTTAAAGAAAATCTAAGCGAGTCCTACGAGCAAGCTAAGATCTATAAGGGAAAGAAGAAAAAGCTTAGTGGTAGCCAAATTCTTCGTCACGAAATTT